AACACTAGATTTCGAAGGTTTAAGAAGGTCGATGTTGATGTCACCTACCATACAGAGTTTATCAGTAGGCACTACATTTTTTTAAGCTTCTGTCATACTCATCTAAAAAATTACGTACGCTTTCTGTGGGCGGTCCATAAAGTGCTAAAAGAAATACTGCAAAGCTGTTTTTACAGAGTTTTAACGAGAGACACTCTGCATAGTTGAATGGGCTTTGTAATGTGGGGCTGTTGACCATGTATTTTTAACATAATAATAATATTCTTTATTCAGACAAATGTCTAGGAGGATGGGGCAAAAAACGATTTAAATCGCCTGACAAGGCTCCATCCCCCTTTACAGTCAGCAGCAGAACGTAAAGAAACACAGCGAAAAAAAAAAACAATGAAATACTCATAGTGGCATTACACTGAGGTACAGAGATATAACAAAAGAAATGCGGCCGGAAACTTTAATAAGTCATGTTATACGTGAAAGGTACGTTTTCAGTGTTCGTTTAAATGTGTATATTGTGTTGGAATTATTGATCAAGGACAGTATTTCAGGGCGGTTGTTTAATAGCTGTGCGATCTGATTAAGTGTCTTTTGTTTACCGTAGTTTGTGCGTACTCTCGAGTGAGTGTAGCGGGTATGGCGAAATGAGTATATTGATCCATTGTTGATATAATGTTTATGTACAAACTGAGGGTGTGCTTCTATTTTGTAGAACATGTATATTGCCAGTTTTTGAATGAGTGATTATCTCAGGACATGGTCTTGATTTTTAATGTTGTTTATGTTCAATGTTTATGTATTTTCTTTATTGACAGCCCAGGTTGTATATTCAAGTGTTGTTTTTATTTTATTGAGCGTATTAATTCATGGGCTGTACCTGCTATAATGCCGAAGATTTTCCGGCGCAGCAGGTTTTTTTTTTCTGTAAATAAAAAAAAAACGTCGAATTTGTGCGGTTTTTCAGAAAGCGGTAAAATGTCACGAATGAAGGTGACGAAAAGCCGAACAGTGAACTGAAAATAAAAATTTAATGGGCGAACTTGTGCCAACCAAAAATAAATAACGAAAGAGCGTCGAGGTAGCAGAAAAGCGGGCGGCGGTTCGGCGGCACACAGAGCGCTACCGAAACTGGGACTGACTCGACAAGGTCGCGGACAGCTGCTTATCTACCGTGCGTCACTATCTCGAAAGTTCGGCAAAGAAGGTTCGAGCGTCGCGCGCTCGGGGCGAGGATGAACTGGCACTTTCGAGAATAACAAAGCAGAGGGAAAGTTACGTCTGCTGCGAGGATGACCGGGAATCTTCTAGAAGACCGTGACCAAGCGTTGCCTTCTCGGCTCTGCGGGCGGCATTATCCCCCCCCTTTAAAAGTGCATCGCCCCGATGCAAAACGAAAGGAAAACGGAAATGGCTAAAACAATTGCGGCGAAACAAAACAAACATGCAGTGTCACAATCCTAACGCGCGTAGAACGGCTTGAGTCGAACTACGTGGACGACCTCGGATCGTGGCTGGCGTCCTGATGGGCGAGTTCCGTCGGGGAGCACCTCGTAGTTCAAGTCCCCAAGGCGGCGAATAACCTTGTAGGGTCCAAAGCAGCGTTTTAACAGTTTCTCACTAAGGCCGCGGTGACGAATGGGCATCCACACCCGCACCCTGTCTCCGGGCTGGAACTCCCCGTCTCGGCAACGAAAGTTGTACCGGCCAGCTTTGACACGTTGCCGGTCTTTTATGCGAAGGCGGGCTAGCTGGCGTACTTCTGCTCGTTGGGTGACCAACTAAGCATCGTCGGTGCCATCATTTGTCGGTGCTGTCGTTCGTCGGTACTGTCGTTCGTCGGTGCTGTCGTTCGTCGGTGCTGTCGTTCGTCGGTGCTGTCGTTCGTCGGTGCTGTCGTTCGTCGGTTCCGTAGTTCGTCGGTGCCGTCGTTCGTCGGTGCCGTAGTTCGTCGGTGCCGTAGTTCGTCGGTGCCGTAGTTCGTCGGTGCCGTAGTTCGTCGGTGCCGTAGTTCGTCGGTGCCGTAGTTCGTCGGTGCCGTCGTTCGTCGGTGCCGTCGTTCGTCGGTGCCGTCGTTCGTCGGTGCCGTCGTTCGTCGGTGCCGTCGTTCGTCGGGTCGTGAGGCATCACGGCGTCGAGCATCGTCGTCACCTTTCAGCCGTGCACCAACTGAAAAGGTGTAATCCCAGTGGTTCCTTGAACCGCCGTGTTGTACGCAAACGTGATGTAGGGCACCACCTCATCCCACGTCTTGTGTTCCACGTCCACATACATCGAGATCATGTCGGCGATGGTCTTGTTTAGTCTCTCCGTCAGCCCGTCAATCTGCAGGTGGTATGCCGTGGTCCGGCGGTGGTCGAGGTCTGCGTCGTCTGGGGGTCCATCGTTGACCTCGTTGGTTGCTTGATCTTGGTTGGCAGAAATCCGAGTTCCGGGTTAGCTCTTGGTTGCGGCGACTTTATCGGGTCTTGCTTGTGTCTTCGTTGGGTCTTCGTGGGCTTGGTGTTGGACTTGCACTGCGGGCCCTCGGAGGAGTACGGTGCAGGGACATGCGTTACCCCGCACCTCCACCAGAAATGTCACGAATGAAGGTGACGAAAAGCCGAACAGTGAACTGAAAATAAAAATTTAATGGGCGAACTTGTGCCAACCAAAAATAAATAACGAAAGAGCGTCGAGGTAGCAGAAAAGCGGGCGGCGGTTCGGCGGCACACAGAGCGCTACCGAAACTGGGACTGACTCGACAAGGTCGCGGACAGCTGCTTATCTACCGTGCGTCACTATCTCGAAAGTTCGGCAAAGAAGGTTCGAGCGTCGCGCGCTCGGGGCGAGGATGAACTGGCACTTTCGAGAATAACAAAGCAGAGGGAAAGTTACGTCTGCTGCGAGGATGACCGGGAATCTTCTAGAAGACCGTGACCAAGCGTTGCCTTCTCGGCTCTGCGGGCGGCAATGAGTGATTATCTCAGGACATGGTCTTGATTTTTAATGTTGTTTATGTTCAATGTTTATGTATTTTCTTTATTGACAGCCCAGGTTGTATATTCAAGTGTTGTTTTTATTTTATTGAGCGTATTAATTCATGGGCTGTACCTGCTATAATGCCGAAGATTTTCCGGCGCAGCAGGTTTTTTTTTTCTGCAAATAAAAAAAAACCGTCGAATTTGTGCGGTTTTTCAGAAAGCGGTAAAATGCTTCGCGTGCTTTCTATCGTTCTGCAATTTGTTGATTTAGTGTTTTTCGATGATGCTGAGCAATTTTCTAATTGGTACCGTGCCCTTAAACACAATATTAAAAAAATTAATTACGCAAAAATAATTAAAAGACCTGTGCAACAGTTTCAGTGCTTTGCTTAAATAATTTGGGAGTTGGTGTCTCGACCTTTCTGAAGTAAAGAACAAAAACCGCTTTTGTCTCCATGTCCTAGTTTTTATTTTAAAAAATGGACAAAGATTGAGGTTTTCGGCACATCTCAACAACTTCACCATCTTCCGGGTCACGTGCTCTGTGACGTCAATGGGGGTTGCGCGGGGTTCCAGTGAAGCTCTCTGTCTAAAGCCATCAGTGACCAGCGTGAACTCATCCGCTCGCGACCGCGTGACCACGTGCTGGCTGGCGCAGCGCGAACAAGATGGTGAAACGAGGAAAGCCTCATCCGGGTCCGGCCGTACCCGTCCGGCTCTGTCCCCCTCCCCCTCCGGCTTCTAGCGGCTGTTCGCGGTAGCAGATAGAGCTGACGGTTTTGTGAACCTAGGATCGATGGCGCCACTAAAACTCCGTATAGACCCTTTCGAGCAACATTTCATGGGTGCCGCCATCTTGACGTCACGTGACCCTGCCGCCATGGCCGACCTTCAGCTTCTCGCCGTTGCTCCGCGTTCTGTGCTGCGCAGGCCACCACCGGATGCTTTGTTTTCGTGTTCTTTTGCATTCAGCGTTGAAATCTTGAGTTTTCTTTAAGTCGTTTTGTTATTTCGGGCTTTCATTTAATCATTTGATATCTATATTTCAACATAGCTCTTGTATTTTCTTGTTTATGGAATGGAATCGGACTGCGAATAGATAGACGATACAAGATTATGGCCTAAGCTTCAGAGACCATGTAAGTTCGTCACATTCATTCCTTTTTGTCGCTAATAAAGGGCAGTCAACACCATTGCGACATATGGAAATTTCAACTGACGCAGCTATGTTGAAATATAGATATCAAATGATTAAATCAAAGCCCGAAATATCAAAACGACCTAAAGAAAACACAAGATTTCAACGCGGAACGTAAAAGAACACAAAAACAAAGCTCCGGTGGTTGCCGACGCAGCACACAAGGCAGAGCGGAGCCGTGTCTGAGGCAGAGCAACGGCGAGAAACTGAAGGTCGGCTATGGCGGCCCGGAAAGCGCGCGGAGGGCGCGCCGACTGGTGGTGGCAGCTCGAGTAACTGACTCCCTGAAAGCGTCTATAATAAAAGTTTTGTCGATGATGCCAGGTTTTTGACGAATTTATATTTATGTTGGAACGACAAGATTTATGGAAAAGTTACCTTTTATCGAGCAGATATTCGCACAACTTGCTATCTTTCTACAAGACCCCATTGACGTCATGCCGCGTGTTTCCCATGGCCGCCGCTCGCGGCTGCAGGTCGGGGAATATTCTAATTTTTGCCTCGCGATTACACGGCGGAATCGTAACATTTTGAAGGAATGAGGTGTGTTTTCTGTCCTTTGTGACAAGATGAACAATGTCAGAAGTAGAGCATGCCAATTCTTTCAACGTTAAAATCGTTGCACAATTATCCCGGACTTTAATAATTGTCCTAAAAAGGCCCCGGGCTCAGAACCAAAACGACACGAACCTTTTTTTGTTGCGACGCGTAGTTTTCGCAATATCGAATTTGTCGACCTTTCGTGAAACACCCTGTATATATATTTTAACGAGACCAGAGCGGTATGAAGTCGGTGTTCTTTCGCAATGAAGCCGGACCAAACTGAAACTCCAGCGTGCTGTCCACAGATCTGGCTCAGGGCAAGACCCTTTTGGAAGTGGGCTGCGGTCCGACGCTCTGGCCCTCGTTCCTTTCTTCGAGGCGATTCAGCGACATCGTGCTGAGCGACCTCATGGAAGGGAACAGGCTGGAACTCGAGAAGTGGCTCGAGAAGAGTAAAGATGCCATCGACTGGACCTCACGTGCCGAGGAAGTCGCTGCTTTGGAGGGCTACAGGTAAACGCAGCGTATTTTGAATGTTTGAATTGTATTTCAGTGGACTCCTGCGGACAATATTAGCCAAAAACACCTGATCTGGCCATTTTATGTCGATGTTCCCCAAAAGTTCTATCACCTCTCCATTTGTCTAATTTCAACGTATGGGATCCCAAATTCATTCACCGTTACTTGCTCGAATCACAGCTCTCTCGAAATTTGGCCGGTACGTCAAAAGAAAGCGTGAAGGAATGTTTCATCTCGTATTGTCAGCTATAGTACAGCGAAGGCCCATTGGATTGAACCCACTTTAAAGGGATACTTCAACGAAATTTGAAATATATCCGTCGTGTTCAAAAATAGGTTGAATATGATCCACAATATCCGTAAATGACAATCGCACGTTCGTGTTTTGAGCCTGTTGGCTGTATTTTTTTGTTATAAACTCTTGCAAGCGCTCGGATAAGGCCCAGCTTAGAGCACGTGACATCCGACGTAATCGTGACGTAGGTCGTCTCGGGACGAGCAAAACTACGGCGAGGTTGACGTCGAGGGGATGGCCTAGTCGTTCTAGCCACCGAAGTTTCTGCTTTTCTACGAATTTCGAGTGACGGGTTAATCTTTTATAATCTTATAGAGGGACAATATCTACTCCTGGAAAACACAAAAGGGATTCTCGGGAAGACGGGAGTTCTTCCTTTCCCTCTTCTCTCGTCGTGGCCGGAGGCGAGACACTCACCGCACTCTTAGAAAAAAGGGTCAGTATAGTCCTCCCTAAAGGGAGGAACGCTCTTGACACATATGTTCCTTCAGAGAGGGAGAAACTTTCGTCCCTCAAGCAGGGGAGCAAAAGTTCCTCCGTTGACTGCATCTCATTATGGCGGCCACGAATCGAGCAAATCGAGCTCGATAAGGCTTAACGAGAACACTAAGTCTATTGTACGAAGCGAGAGGGGCAGCAAATAAAAACGTAACACGAGCTTTCCGCGAACTGTATTTATTTCCGAAGTTTCTTTACCCCTGCAGGTAAAGAAACTTACGTTTCGAAAGCATGCAGTCACTCAGTCTTCTCATCGTGAGCACTGCGATGTTCAACGGAGACAACCGACACCCAGTTCGCGCACTTTATGTCTTACCTTTGCTATTCCTCGAGCCACAATTCCTTCGTCAACCGTTGCGTCAACCGCACATCACGGAGGAGTGAAAATCATTCGCCCGCAAAACCAAAAGCCGCTCTCAAAAAAAAAAAAAAGCAAATCCGAAGCAACCTCTTCGCTTATCTCAGCACGGTAACACGAAATTATGGCGCAGCCGCGTAGCGTAAAAGGATGTTAAATCGCTTGCCACAAGATGGCAGGGTCAAACAGAGTAATCGCAAGTAGCTAGGCTAGGTGGCGCTAGGTACGTCCAATTCATGTTTTACAAAAAAATATTTTTATTTTCTTAAGCTACAATTGCCTTTCCTTTTCTTCGGGAATCTCTAACACATGTAGACACGTTACGTACGCTACAAGCATCGGGTGAACATATGTTGAGCGCATACACAGGCATCGCACATACAAACATCAATACAACAGCACACTAACCCGATCACTACTCCCGACCCCTGCGTTTCCGTCTTTTATACTGGTCGTTTTGAACGTGCGGAATTTTTCGGTGACTCCCTAAGCAATAAAAAATATTCCGAGCATGTTCATTTTTTTCCAGCAATGTCATACATCTGAGACTATTTTTAATGGCTCAGGGGATGAATCTCTTAGTAAAACGAAAACGCTCGATCATGCCGTAATTATTTGAAAGCTAATAAATCGAGCCGCTCCAATGTGGTTTCAAGCCATGAGTTTGTTTTCCCGCACGGCCCTTCGTAGCCAGTATTTATATTGTAGTGTTTGTTTTTCTATTTGTGGTGTTCGCGCACGGCTGCAATTGCCGTCTTGAATTAATCTTTGTAGAGCGGATATTCACTCAGCTGGAAGTGATGCTTCACGGGCAGAGAAATCGCTTTTCGAACAACTTGAATGCAGTCAAAGCCGCGACTTGCGGCAACTGTTAAAGTCTACGGAGCTACGCCGTTGCGAGCTCGAACACTTCTAGCGCTCATCCCAGCGCGCCACTTGGAGAGCAGTTTCTACAGGAACCGTAATATATTTAGACAGTAAAATAAAGGATAGCGTTTTTTGTTTTTGTTTTTTTTCGATTTTACCTGTTTTTTTTTTTTTTATGCTAAACTTCCGTTTAAATATACGTAATTTCCGTCATACTTTCGTACTGTTCAGTCTTTTCCCCAGAGCGCAATCGCTCTCGGGGACCGACAGTCACATTGGCCACTGTACATAGGAGCTTACCGTTCAGACCAGCGTTCAACATGACTATCCACACGTCGATCGACTGCACCTAATCCCTCAAGTGGTTTTAAACTCTTTAATGTAAAGCGGAATGTCCTCCTGCGACACCCCGCCCCCTCCGTACACGGCCCGACCAGCGGCATCAATGCCCGACAGTTTACGTCATCTCATCTTGTTGTTACACCACTGATACGCGAACACACGGTCACATCGGCGACAATTCCAGTCTTCTGTTCACAACCCACAACACTGCCATCACGATGTCGCTGACACGCAGAAATACAGAATCACGTTGAACGCCGGTTGGCACTCGGCACGGGACAACAGAAGCGAACTCAGCATGGAAGGCACCCAGGCAGCCGGCAGGACAACCTGCCTTCCTTGGACGCAGTTCCCGCGATTTCCATGACGTCGAAAACGTCGACACAGTTCCTCGTGGTTTGGCTGCTGTAGTTCCGCGTGTGTCCCGCAAATCGGAGACGGCCGTCTTACCCAGTGTATGTAGCGCTGCTGGCACTGCTCCGGAACTTCGCTGTTTCTAGCGGCTTCGTTAGATCGTTTGATAAAATTAGTGGTAAAAACGTCAATGCAACCGAAATGTTCTGCACGTTTGGACTAGAAGACGGAATTACAGGCGGCCTTCGCTGCCGCTGAAGCTCAATCAACTCAACATTAATTTATTAAACAACGTGCGCGATGTGCTCGAAAAACGAAACCGAAAGAAGGTGAGTCGGGAGGGCGAAAGCTTTCTCCGGTCTGCCTGGAGAAGGAGGAAAACGTCTCGGAGAATAATAAGGACTTTAATTTTCCTTTCAGCGGTCTGGGTTTGTTATGTGTGTTTTGTTAAATAAAAATAAAAAAAAAAACATTACCAAAAAAAAAAAAAAAAAAAAAAAAGGTTGGTTTTCTGGGGATCGAATCTTTGACCACTTGGTCAGAAGCGCGATGTTTTACCCCTGCGCCAACTGAACAAGAAGGAACTCGCGCTCCTCCTTTCATCTGAACTTCCGTTCCTCCCTTCTCTGGGCAACTTGTCCACAACAAGGAGGAACAGTCGCTGTTGCTACCTTTCTCCTCCTTTTTTTCTTGGAGTGCGTCACTAGCTGTCAAGGTTCCTAGACGGGCATTACAAACGAGGGGTTAGCGACATCCACCCGGTGCTCTTTGCTAATCGTTTAATTCGTTCTAAAATTCTTTTTCATGACTTTTTTAACAAGATATTGGTGTGTTCGATGTGATACTGCTTCTTTGAACACATATAGACCAAAAATTGAACGCCGAAATTTCGTTGTAGTATCTCTTTAAAGGAATATCAAAAATCATTTTCGTTTGTTCCGGCATTTTAACTTAAGATGAAGGGGGAACTGTGCGCTGCGCCTTGCAAAGTTGATTTTTTATGGCTGGTGAACCTGCAAGTGAAAAACCTAAGAAGAATTTACTCATAAAAATAATCGCATCTCCCAAATCAGTTTCGCTTGCTCCGGCATTGTAACTTTTTAGCACAAATGTGGAACTGTGCGGTGCGCTTTGCGAATCTGATTGCTGATCGTTCGGTAAACCTGCTTTCAAAGTGACGGCGGCAATAAAAAAAATTGCGGTTGTACTTACGTTACGGAAGACAAAATTGTCATACCTAGAATCTACTTGTGTGTTGTTAAATATTATTGCAATCGTTTACAAACATTTTTCTATAAATATTTCTACAAACCTGATTGCTTTTTTAGTCGGGTAAGGTCACTCACCAACCTTTGTGTTGCTGTATGTTCACGCTGTCTGTTGTCTAGTTTATGTTCGCCCTAACCGCCCTAACCCCAGACTGGACCACAGTCCAGTCTGGAGTTTTTCGGGGAAGGATTGCCCACTAGCATCGAATCTCTTTTGCGTGTGTATTTTTGTTTTCGAGACTATCGAGTGAAAATATAAGTCTGCTTGAAGACCACCTTACTTATGCATTTGTGGAAAAAGATTTCCTTCTCCTTTTGTTTGGTTTGTTTCTGCACCTGAACCCTATATAAACCTCAACTTTCTATTTGGTTTATGCACTCGATTTGTGCACTTTAGGTTTGCGTACCTGAACCATATGAGCCACAACTTCCTCTAAAATAAGTTTAGCTGAGTTTGAGACGTTTTGTTGTATTTACCTTTGTTTTTCCCGTGTAGGAGTTTTGTCTCATGGTGCACTTTCCTTGTTGATACTATCAAAGAGCAAACTTGCCTCAATCAAAAGATGCAAGTTGAACCGTGCAGCTAGAAGCTAACAATTGTTTGTGGCTCAGTGTGCAATGCATATTTTTTATGGAAATGAGGAAAAAATCTTGCTGTGGATATCTCTGACGCTTATTTTACCGAAAACATCAAAAATGGCAAATTAAGTATCTCTGACTTCGTTTTCGTTCCTTGTTTTGCCCAATAAAGCGATTCGGTGGCCTACCGAAACGGGTTTGACTTTTAGTAAAACAAATGCTCGGCTGCATACTGAGCCAAGGACACATTTTGCTCCTGAGTTGTAATTTTCGGGTAATGCAAATTTGGTGTCTCATGAGAAAAAAAGAAAAAGGAAAACGTACAGCTTAACCTCACCTTTCTAACGTGCTAAATTAATGTTTCGGAGCATGCAAAATTGATTTCTGAAATATACTTAAAGCATGTCCGTTTGGCCCACGCTGTACACTGTGCCCTTTGGCATTTGGAGACACCCTAAGAGATTTATTTCCGCGAACCTTCTGATTCGACAAAATATCGCAAAAAAATTTGGTTTCGCAAATATATCTCCCCATGAAAAAAAACACAAATCACAACTTCTATTGTTTTTTTTTTTTTTGCCTGCGAAACATTTTTTTATTTTTACATCTTTCCGAAATTCCTGAGATATTGAGCCCGCGAAAATAATGTCGTTTACAGTAGCAGGTTGCGGGGATGTCTGGCGCAGTGCTAGTCATTTCTCGGGCGCTTATTCTGGAGCGGAGCAACCAAGTTTAGTACACGCAACTGCAGTGGAGTAAGCCGCCTCTCAAAATTGGCAGATAGCCCACGGGGTCCCCTCTTCTGCTTTCAGGGGCTGGTTCGAAGTCCAACCCAAGCCTTTATTGCGTAAAACGTGACTCTGTTTCTGCGCATGCGTATCGCTTCGACGGACGTGTACCATGAAACACGATATATAGTACAACAGACCATTTTCAAACACCCGCGCCATCTAGCGACTGCTGCGCCAATTATTCGAGTCCCTGATTGTTCGGGCGCGTACTCCAAACGTGTATGCGGCACGAGGGCTACGTCAACGTTCGACGTGAACTCGGCTCAGCACGTACCGAAAAACGAGTGCTGACGTCAGCGTTCGGGGTGGACTCGGATTCAATCACACGCTTTGTGGCCCGAGAAATTGAGACTCTCAATGTTGCTTGATTGGGTTCTGAAGAAGAATCTACTAGCTCGCAGCAAGTAAACTGAACGGGCAGCCATGGGAATGTTTAGCCGACTTCGGTACAGCGCGAATCCCGTATGCAATAAAAATGTAGAGTAGGGTTTAATCCCCGATTATTTCTCCATAATACGAACTTGGGGCTCCGTATAAACATCGACGTTGCTTCATTTTTTATCTTCCATATGAAATCTAGAAAGGGGTTTTAACCGGTTCTATGATTTGGTCACCGACGGATTTTTGTCGGTGTTTTTCGGGTTCAACCAATATTGTTCGGTTGGTAACAACAGAACAAAATAGGTTGAAACCATTATCGATTTTTTTTTTTTTTGGGGGGGGGGGTTTAACCTATTTTGTATTTTCGTCACCGACGGAACTTTATCATAATAGACTAAAACTCCCAAGACGAGGGAGAGGGAGCACGAGGAACAACACGGCACAGAAGTCCTTTTTTCTCTCTACTGTCGGGGTCTTAGTCTATTATGCTCAAGCATCACGAGCTTTCTTTGTGCCCTAACTCTCTGAACTTCATCGGTGTTTAGGTTAAAACCGGTAAGTCCACGGCCCACATGTAACTTTTACGCAAGCGCATCTTTGTTGCGATTTACAGCGACACCAAGAAGGGGGCGCTGGAAATACTGGAGCGGACCCGATCCTCGATTCGCAAGGTGGTTCACTGCGATGTCCTGAAGCCCGGAGTGCTCCCACAGGAACACGAGGAAGCCTTCGACGTCGTCCTTTCCTGCAACTGCATCGAGAGTGTCATAGCAGACCACGAATCTTTCCGGTGTGCGGTCTGCAACGTAGGGTCGCTCGTCAAACCTGGCGGTCTGCTCGTTCTGGCTGGTATGGGTGGCGTAGAAAAATTCACCCTAGGAGACGCTGAATTCTCCGTGCCGAAACTCACCGACGACGTGGCCAAAGGAGCGGTGGCAGATGCTGGCTTTAAAGTGAATGTATACCGCACGGACAACATGGGCGCCAAGGGACGAGCTGAGCTATTTGCGTTTGTCCTGGCGGCCCGCAAAGATTTTAAAGGGGATCTCTAACGATACTTGAGCTTCTGCGCTTTTTGTTATTACCTCATAAGTAGGTCGGGCTACTCAGGGAACAAGGAGTAGCCACAAACTATTGGCACGTCATATTTTAATTGGATCAGGCAAAAACATGCAACGTCTGGTGGCGCCCCAGTGTGTTGAAGACGCGCAGTGGGTGACGTTTTGGGAAGAGCCGTCAGAATTTATTTTATGCAGACGAAATGAAGTGTATCACTCAATAAAATATCGTTATTCTCTAAAGAGAAAAGGCTTTTTATTTAGCTTAAACGCAAAAAAAAAAAATGCAGCAATCTGAAAAAAAAAAAAAAAATTTTAGACACGTGTTTTTGAGCGGCGGTTGTGGCGGGACCAGCGAACCAATTTTCCGAACTTCCGATACTCGGGCAAGCGCTCCATTTGGGAATCGGCGTTCCGGATGTCGGAACAGCCGAACCAGTGGGACGCTTACTTCTGCAATGTTAATCTGCTACTCTCGCCACGTGCCGTGTGTTTCTATGTGTTCTCACCGATCAGTTTGGTGTCCTGGTGCTTTTTGTGTCGGTTTCCGCATTAGTGCACTCGATTGGACGAGTCTGCGCGTGCGGCTGGCGTTACCACGAGAAACTTCGTAGGCCTCACGAGACGGACGCTCTTGCTCGTAAAGCCGGCAAAAGCTCGAATTTGGAGGACTTGCCAGAGGGAGAGTCAATTAGAGCGCAGGACAACCTAGCTCATGCATAAGCTATATGTATGATCATGAGCTAGTCGTACGCGCCGGTAGTCGCTCACACATAAAACGACAAAGGCCTGGTCTCGATTCGTTCAAACAAGGCCCTGCCGGCGGATTAGTGCCCAGCGACTTCGACGGGCGCGGTAATGCGGTCTTTGCATGCGAAAGCATTAAGTGTCCCATAGAGTGAACCGGCATTATCAGCTTTTGAAGCCGCGCCAAGCGGCACCTAAATTGCCCTCTCCCATGTGGAGCGAAGCCTGTACTCTCTAGCAGCGAATTGATGGATAAACTCCCATTGGCTGGCGCGCGGCATTGTTCCAAGGAACGCCACCCCACAGAGAAGCCTTCTCCATGGCGCAGCGGCCCGGCCGCCATTTAGAGGGAGAGGGTGGCCGGGCTCCGCAGGGCGGCCGGCCCCAGAGCCCGCCTGGACAGCATCCGCAGAGGTCGCCCGACCGGGCGCAGTGCGGCGCGCAGCTTGTACGGATACGCTATACGTATAGACGCTTTGCAGCAGCTGTGAATGAACTTCGCCATAACTGGCCTTCAGTTTTTGTTTCCTCTTATTCCGTTTATTTCACTTCATCATTACCATGGCAGGCCAGGTTACTGCCATATTAGATTTAACTGTGTCCTTTTCTAAAGCATCGGCCTTTGTAGAGGATCGTCAACTACAGTTTCAGTTGCTCGGCATGTCGGTAAGACAAGAGAAGGTCAGCAATGGCGGCTGTAATTTGACGCGTGTGTAGAGCGCCTATACTAATGCTTTCGCCATTCCTACACGTTAGCGGTCTTAAGTTTCTTTGTAGTTTTTCCTCCGGATTTGGTGACTTTCGGGAAAAAAGAAACGCTTATATATAAACTCGTTATCCCCGTTCTTCTCTTTTTTTTTTTTTTTTTTCAGCCTATCACGGTGCAGTTATTCCCTGAAACGAATCGCTGCCTCAGTTATACCGATTGCATAAATACCAAGCAGCAGAAACGGAAAAGTGGAGCAGAGCGCGCTCGACCGCGCTGGACTCAGTTTTGTCGGGTTCTACTCAACGCGGCGGGTCCTTGCGGGGAGCGGCGTGGTGGACGACGTCGGCACGATCGGCCTCGGAGCCTGAAACTAGGACGATGCAAAGGGCTATGGCGACGATGCGCACCCGTCCTTGGCACGGCAGTTATGAACCTAACTCGCAGCCAATTGGCCAGTAGCTTCGCTCCAGCCCTCCAATCGTTGAATTGTCCACAAAAAGGTTCACACAGTTGTGTGGACTGCGTTGCGCCGCGTTGCGTCGTTCCAACGACGAGCCAATGAGGGAGCGCCTCCCTCATTGGCTCGTCGTAAGGGTCGTCATAGCAACAGTTCGACGCAGTCAGTCTTAGCGCAGTCAAACGCAATTGTGTGAACGAGCCTTAATACGTCACCGAGCTCAATTGTTTTAATAGTTATCGTAATCTTAATTTACTTATATCTCCCAAAATGAATCCCATTTCCGTAAAAAAAAAATTATTTTTCTTCGTGTTCCCACTTTCCAAAAACTCCGTCTCAACGCAAATTCCAAACTAGTTCAAAATCATTAGAGGGAACTTGAGAACTTGAAGCAGATGGTAGTTCAGGTAAAGTAGACGGCAGGTGAGGGTCCATTCCTTTGTTGGTCATGCTTGTGGTTAGGGGTGACCCCGTGGCAGTGGATATTGGTTCTTGTGCTCTTTTTTGTCTTGTTGCGGGGAGGCGCGTAACGTTCGGGGAGTGTGGGAAATTGTACAAATGTGACGATGTGAAATAAAATTGGGTCCGGGCATGTCATTGAACGCCGTTTCTTCGAATACCGTTTAATCGAGGCCGTTTCGTCGAACGCCATTTCATCTGCCATTTCATCGAACGCCGCGTAGTAGAGCAGTTTAAAAATTTGATATCAGAAATAGTTTTCTTTTTAAAACCGAAAGGATAGCAGACCTTTTTTTTCCCTGCATTGAAAACTAATAATTATAAACTTTATTTCTTCCCCTACACATCCATATGTGTTTTTATTTATTTTTTTACCAGTTGGGATTACAGCTTTGACATTTTAGGAAACCTGTGATCCTCGAGTGCAGTGACGTACACCCGTGAGCGATATGAAGGTGAACAGCCCTCTTTTTGTTTTTGACACCCCTGCAAGTTTTGGAACAAGTTCTGTTCCAGAAGGCTAGAACGCAAAGTTTAGACCCCCAAGCCACGTATCATTTGAGACGTTGAGAGTAAATACAGCTTTAGGGAGGCGTAAAACAGGCAAGAAGCCACGTAAGGTGTTCACCTTCGTATTGCCGACGGGTGCACATCCTTTCAAGGGTGTGCCCTCGTTGTTGAAGAGACGAATTCTATTTCAAGCACGAAGCCATCCTTGAAGCAATGACATGTCTTCATGTCGCATATTTTTTCGCAATCCGATGAGCCGTGAACCTGTCGGGTTTTCAACCTACGTTTTTAGAAAGGAAGCTATTCCCCTTTGATAGGACGAAAACACAAGTAGTCAAATACAAAATAAAAAAGGCGCACCGAAGAATAGTTTTATTTCTTTCTGAAAGTGCCTTTCAGGCATGAACAAAGAGGGGACAAAGTATTTGGTGGAAGAGAGTCGCTTATCTTACCTGAACACAGTAAGTCGCATACCAACTCAAGTTTTGCTATGTTCTATGATTCAAAAACCAAACTTGTGGTGAAAAAGTGACCAGGATAGTGATTTTATTTCTGGTGATTCGACGGCAGCGTGAAAGCCACTCGGAAGCGAGCGTGAAGTATCTAAAAAGCACTATAATGCTCCAAAATTCGGTGAAGCGGAATTCCATGAAACGGCGTTCGATGGATCGGCGTTCGATGAAGTGTCCACTTATTCAATGAGACTGCGTTCATTGAAATGTCCGGTACTTAAATGAAACCAGCAACTGTATTTTGAGATGTTGTGCGTGTTTGCCCATTTTTTTTTAATTTTTTTATGCGTTTTCAATCTCAGATTTTTTATTATAAAGCAGCTTGATAGCGGTTTTTTTTTTCACTTTCATTGTTAATTATCGAAATTTGCCATTCACCAGACCAGAAAATAAAATTTTGTAGGAAGCAGGTTTTATTTTTATTTTTTCAACATAGTTTCTTTACAATATATATAAAAAAAAAACTCGTTCGTCTTATATAGAAGTATTTTTGAACCTTTGACCTAGGAACGAGGGACCTCAGTTCGGCAGAGGGGAAGCGTCATGACCTCGAACGCGTCAAAAGATTCCTTCGTGGATCTTGTGCCTCTTTAGATTTTTTGACGTGTTTGATGGGCGTTCTGTCTCGATGTATTGTAATGATGCGTTGGATGTTTCGACTGGAAGGAATTTTACGCTTCAATATAAGTTTTATTTTTTTGCACCGAGACTGGAAAGAACCCGCCTGCTCTTCGAGAGTTCTGACATTCAGGATAAGCATGCCACTGCGGTAATTGTGTTGCGAGGACGTTTAAACAACAGGAATTAATTTCGTGGGCATCAGCAATTTAGCCATTCCATTGCCGCTGTTCACTTGCGACCTCCAAGGCGCATCGTATGCAGTAATGATACGCGACCGGACGGTGGTGCAATGCTCATCCAGATCGAAGCAGGCAGGGTTGGGGACTGAGCACAGGATCCTTGGGTTCTACAGTGTGTGCTTTGGCTCCACGTGCTTCTGGCTGCGGTGCGTTGTTAACATATTCGACCACCCATATGTCGCTCCTCACGATCGCGTAAAAAAAGAAAAAGAATTCGTCGTTTCCTTCAGCATGGGAACAATGTTAATTTGCTCAATTTGGGCGATACAAAAAAAAAAAAAAAGTCTTAGAAGCAAGAGCGTTTTAGCGCGAACTAATGGAGCACTTTGGCCAGACTCTTTTGCACAGAGCTCGGTGTTTACGTTACGAAGAGGGAAACAGCGCCAAAAGTACGGAGGACAAAGAACGAGGAACACACAGACCGAGCGCTGACTGACACCTGGTTTATTTCTGGAAAACCACCTATTGGCATAAAACCACAGGCAAACATACATCGGATCATCGCCTAAGGGCACGTGTCACAGCTCTCCAAGAACATGATTTCCTTATCGAAGAGCGCAATCGAGGGAGCAATGACGCACTTATCCACTTATCCTTATACTTCGAAATGTACTAGGCCTCGAATATTTCACGAGTCACCTGCTGACTGTGCCGAGCAACAATCGTCATCTTTTCCAAAAGATGACGATTTTCTATCACAACGAATGCCACATTTATTACAATACTGACAAGTGTCTAATCGATCGTCACGTGCGCAGTGTGCCAGTTATATTTTAACTTGTAGCATTACGAAAGCTACGAGCGCGAGTTTAAATCCTTGGAAGCTACACTGACGCTGCTCTCGCTGGACCTCGTGCAGCGAGAGCAGCGTCATGAAGCCACGTCACGTTCAACACGTCAGACGCAATTTCCTTTCTCTGCGAGCTTCGTTACTCATTTTTGTCTGGCGTACTTCCAAGCGCCCTCGCATCGCCCGGCCAACAGAACCACGCGTGACTCAGGTTCAGTGTGAACTTCTAGTAGCGTTCATGGAGGAAGACATCTCTCTGGTGCACGGCGTCACCAACTTTGGGCTGGGTGAGACCTCTGAAACCCGCAACAGCCTATGGTGCTCTCTGGCGGCTTACTAAATGGAGCAGGCCGTCCGCAAAGAGATATCAAAGGTTGGAATAAGTACTGGTGTGAGAAAAAGAAGCACGCCAAAGATCGTGCAAGAGACGTCGAGGTCGACGCCCAAATGTCTGGTGGGGGTCAGAACACCGTGCGCCCTCTCACCGACCTGGAGACGCGGGTCGCGTCACTTCTGGGATTGAACACCATTCAGGGCAGTGCAGCCCGTGTGCAGCCCCTTCCAGACTCCGAGGTAAGCATGCTTCTAACTACGAAAGAAAGACTACAGCGCCAAACTAAACAAATTGCTACGTCAAGCAAGCAGAGTGCTTCCGTTCTTAATAACCTCACGCGAGCGTCGACTGACCGGGAAAGATATCACGAAGTTAAGTGATGGAATCAAACGGAATACGCAAATGCGCAGAGATTACTGAGCCTTTTTCGGCGGCGTCTGGTAGACCGTTGTGGCCTAGCTGATGGTGCTGGAAGCAGCTGTGTCATGTGTGCCCACGTGCCTACTCTTGGTGATATCACCTCTTCTCGGTGATAAGGCGCTGGCAAACCAACTGGCCGACGCTCGCGTCATGTTATGAAAACGTTGTAGCACTGTAGAAGCCATACTGGGAGAGTAGCGTTCCCTGACCTGCCAAAACAATTATGACAAAATTTATTGTCCGCTGTTCTTCTCGTAGGCCCCTCCGGTGCTGCTCGGCGAAGTCCCTCCGACATCAACATGCCGGGGCCCTTTGGCGTCCACTTGCCAGGGCGCTCTGGAATCAACCTGCAAGGGCTCTCCGCAATCAACCAGCCGGGGCTCTCCGAGATTAACCTGCCGGGGCCCTCCGGAATCAACCTGCCGCGGCCCTTTGGCGTCCACCTGCCAGGGCGCTCTGGAATCAACCTGCAAGGGCCCTCCGGAATCAACCTGCCGAGGCTCTTCGAGATTAACCTGCCGGGGCCCTCCGGATCAACCTGCCAGGGCTCTCCGGCCTCAACATGCCGGGGCCCTTTGGCGTCCACCTGCCAGTGCGCTCTGTAATCAACCTGCAAGGGCCCTCTGGAATTACCCTGCCGGGGCTCTCCGAGATTAGCCTGCCAGGGTCCTCCGGAATCAACCTGCTGGGGCCCTCCGGCGTCAACATGCCGGGCACCCTTGACCCCGGCGCGTCGGAGCCGTCTGATGTCGACCTGCCACCCCCGCCATCAAGGAATAGTGAGACGGAAATTAAGATAGTTTACTCTCGATAAGTTGATGGAAAATACTTGTGGCTATGGCCATATAGTGTGCCCACCACAAATCAGTCTTGTGCACGTGCTTATCCGCGTGCGCACAGAGGATACTTAGAAACTACTATGTTCACGGCATTTCATTTCTCTTTATCTGTGTGTTTATTTATCATGCGCAAGTTGTATCTAGGAATGCAGTAGGGAACTCGTAAACATTATTAAAACAGAAGATTGGAATATAAAGGGCGTTTTTTACTATTTACAGAATTTTAAAAGAGGGAAGATGGTAGCTACGTGGATGCCGTCTTCACTGTAAGTTTGTAGGGCTTGTCGGGCATTAAAAGAGAACGATTAATAAAGGCTAACCCAATTTAGACAGTTCGCAATAAAATGACCACCTTCGAGGCATTCACCGTTAAAATGTTGCCTTCCTTCGCTTGATCAAAACCGTGCGCTCAAAGGCGTATTATGATGCGTAGAAGAGTGGTGCCTCTCGTCACCATCTTGATAGCGGGTCTTTGGTGGATGAGCCGGCGTAATGCTTGGCTCAGCTCGGACTCGGCGGACCTCCAATGGGCCCTGGCGGAGCAAGCGCTCCTTTTCACAGGGCCGTAGTTTTGGCTTTTAATAAAGTTGTTCTCCTCCTCACACTTCCAAGATAGTGACGGACAGACTGTGACCCGTCACTCCTCTACCGCTCATAATCAAGCGCACCCTTCAGTGCACGGTTTTGAATCAAGCAAAACACGACGAAATTTTAACGATGAACATCCCAAAGCTCGTTACTTTTCATGAAATGTTTCAATTGGGTTAGGTTTTAATAATTTCTCCCTTTAAAACTGCAATTGTAGCATGCCCAATTAAGCCGTTAATTGAAAAGTGAATTATCATATTTGGTTAATTAGTCAACGAACTGTGACGTTTATCCTATCATCTGATGTCCGCCAAACCCCACAAACACAGTGAAGACAGCATCCACGTAGATATTATCCTTTTTTTTTTATTATGTAAAGGATAAAATAACAACGCCCTGTATGTCGACTTAGATTTTCAGGGAAGTGGAAGAGAAGGAAATTTTTGCAATTTATGTTACACAACATTACTAGTTACCGCTCGAAAAGTTCATGCTGACAGTGTGTACCTCTCGTGTCAGGTTTTCTCTGTTTCTAGCCTGCCTTGGTGGGTCCCGCAATTTTTTTCATCACTTTCCTAAGTCGATTTTTGTTGGTCGCGATTCCAAGTCGATCGCTATTTCTTAAAGAACAGTGTGCAACAAGCACGGCATGTTGTTTGTCTACCAAAGTATATAACGGAGAAAGTTAAGGCTACAGCAAAGTGGAAATTTGAGCCAGTTGGTTCACGTTCAAAATATAAAGCGGCAAAAAAAACAAAAAAAAACGGCAGGACAAAGAGGAGAGAAAACAAGACGAGGCACTAGACAAGGCTACAGGCCCTCAGCTAGTGATATATACCTCAATGTCATGCCGCCCCTCATGTGTCCCGCGTCTATGTGCTTTCAGGTGGCACACCAAGACCTGACCGCCGTCGGTCTTTTCCTCCGAGAATCGCCCGCGCAGACCGATCATCAGGCGACGCAGCTGTGGCTGCCGTGGTAGCCTCACAACAGCAATAGGTTGTTTGCACATGACGTCAATCCGCCATTTTGTTGTTAGATTGTTTTTTCAAACAAATTTACTACATTAAAGGATTACATCGTGACCGGTTGAGATGATGTCAGCTGTGCTCTACGGATTTCAGGGGGCATGTAAATCCTTGTAATGCTCGAGTTTGGCACACGCCGGGCAGCTCACAACAACAAAATGGTGGCCGAAATTACGTCAGTGAAAACACCCTATACTAGCTGAGGCGGCTAGAGCCAGGTTGGAGGGTCAGAGAGCAGGGACATCAAAAGTTACAGATCTACAGCGTCAGGAAGAGCAGCAAGCGCGGGTGGGGACGGAGGTCTTACTACAGTCCCAGTGGCGTCCAGACAAGGGGGAGGGGGGGGGGCAGAGGGGGAGGGGGGCGAATTGTTAAAGGTGCCCGGTAGTCCCTCCCTCTTTCCCCCCTTTCCCAGCTCTTCCCACGCCTATGCACAGTGATTTTCGATTCCCAATGATAACATGTGCGCCCTTCCTTATACACGTTTGCAAGTCCGGCTTCAGGGCGCTGCCATCTTGCCTGTCTGGGGTGCGCTTGGACCAGTCATAATCCGATTACGAAGCCTTGCTAAGGCGTCGTAATCGGATTATGGCCGCTCCCGAGAGCGCACCCCACTGAGGAAGATGGCGGCGCCCTGAGACCGGACTTGCAAACGTGTATAGACCTTTCCAGCGGCAGTCTCGAACGAAGCGATTTACAGCGCGTGTCCCTGGTTTTGAGAGTGTACGTCAGTGTTGCCCGACTGCGCTGAGCTGTGGAGTTTCTCGTCAGTAGGCTGTGGCAGCCTGCGTTGGCGCTATTCCGGACGCTGGTGGCGGCTGAATTGCCGCGTTTTCTTTTTTATCTTGTATTCTGTGGCGAGCATAATTTATAGAGGTCTTTAAGAAAGCAGTGCTCTATTTTCGGGAACAAAAACAAAGAAATGAAAGCTGTTTTGGTGAGTCCGTGCGCGACAGTACAAATGCAACTGGAATGTTTGTTTCATTTTATGTTCATTGTTTTACGGCACCGTAAACTCAGCCGTGTCAATCTATAACGGTCAAAATATTTGACCACACAGGATATCCGTACTGCATGGATATTCTCCGCCCACAACATAAAATTCAATGAGTCTCATCAATCGAACAAAAAATATATTGTACGTACCCCTCGGTGCCGCCTTATCCGAACAGGATTTGAGAAAGGTCTCAAATAACACAGCATGTCCAATATACAGTGTCGACGATAGTCACGTCACGACGATCGGACGGAATCCGGCGTGTTTTGGGGAACATGTAGAAGAGAGCTCCTTTTTTGCACAGCTTCATAGCAAATGAACGAACGTGCTTATTATGTTGCCACACCACGGACCCGACCCTATCAGCTAGTTTTTGCGAAGAAACGGAACACAGCCAGGAAGGCTTTTTGGAGATTATCTCGACGGAAATAATCCTCCAAGCACGTCGAACTGCCTTCGTCGCGGGCTGCTTGACGTTCGCTCTCTTCGTTCGTTTCCTGCGAAGGCCGAGCGGGCTACGAGCCCTGGTATTCCCTGGTTCCCACAGTGGAAGATAACATACAAAGGGTAAGCATCCTAAACAGGCGAATAAAGCAAAAACTTCCAAGAAAAGCCGGCGAACTCCGAATGCAAAATGCAGGTGGGGATTCACGCTGACCGGGTTTCCACAGCTCAGGCGGGTGCCAGAAATTTCTGGCTGATAGGGGTCGCTCGATTCGCAAAATGGCGGCGGCCGGAGCGCTCTTTTTGGAAAGGTCTATAGAGATCAGAAGAACTACTGCGCTGCCTTCGCCAAGTGGAAACTGTGATGCTGCTTAAGCTCCCTTGGTTGCAGCAGAAGCTATAGCGATCCGCCTCCTCAGATGAAATGAAAGAGCTTTATTTTATCCTATCCTATTTTATCATAGAGCTTTATTTTAGCTCTAGGAGGGCTAAAATTAAGCTCTTGTTTGTTCAACTTTTGGATTCCATTTAGAGCTTTATTTTAGCAGCAGTGATATACCATGGTTTTAAATAGTTGTCTTCTATTCCATGACACTAAAATAAAAAGAAAGGAATTAACCTCTACCTTATACTTGCGGCACTAACTTGTAAAGGATTGCCTTGTTTGATTGTCACATACCGGGGGTACCCCTGGAAAAGCCTGTTGTTTATTCCGTGTAGGATAATAAAAAAAATGGGTGGTTCTCGGCATGACTCACTAAGTTTCTCAGACCATACTGATTCCCCGTGCCCCCCTTGAGACAAGGTGATAGATACAATGTTTTTATAGCCAATGCGTAAGTGTATCGAAAATTGTGACGGGGGCATCTAAATTGTTGCGTGATATACAGAGCTTATTCAGTTATAGTGCCCTTGCATACCCTCGAACGACAAGAAATGTATACTTAGTGTCCAGTGTTGATCTGGACCAAGCAAGTTTTATTTTGCAAGATTATTGATGGGGCATATCTTGTATTTTATGAGTGATTCTTGCAAACTTCTTCTGGATTAGCTCTAAAGCTGCGAAAAAAACTGGCACTCGGGCTGTTACGCGGGTTAGATGTAAAACCCGCTTAAAGTAATGCGAGGCTTTTGTACAATACGAAATAGCAAAAACTGACGAGTTAAGCACAGGAAGTTAAAACGCATCACAGTGTCCATGGCTGTAAAACACGGCAACGAGAATGTAAACAACAACACTATAAAAAATAAAACTTTAAGTCAGGGCAACATGGCATAAAAGCAACGTGTGCAGACTTAATATATAATAATAGAAAATAATTATAGCATGTAAACAATATTATTTCCGTGTTTTTAGTGTTTAGATCAAATTTGCTATCTGCCACACCAGGCAGAAATATCAGTTTACGTGGAGCCTCTGTCATCAACACTGTTCGAAGTGCTAACCTCAAAAAGTAACGGAAACCAAGGTTTCTATCTAATGACTTTAAAGGGAAACCTTGCCAATATTGAATCTTGTTAGCTGACGTACCGTATTTACTCGAGTAATAGCCGCAGTGTTTATGAAGAAAACCTGAGGGTACGCTTTTTCGCAGAGCACGCGGATAGCCAATCACCGCGATCGACAGCACGATTCCAGCAGTTTACGGGAGCCTTCGCGCGAAGATACCATCTGTGAAGGTTGCATTTGTATGGAGACTAGTGTTCTTGATCTAGTTATTCGCTATGTTATTTGTGCGCAACGCATTGATTGGATGTATATGTGTTTTGTGGCAAAGTAAACACAAGGGCCTTGTTCATAAATAGTTCGGCTATTACTCGAGTAAATACGTATAAAATACAGGAACTACATAACATTTTCGTATATATTAAATGGATCTTGTTTAATATTAATGGAAACTATCAGTCTCTTCGGCCAAAGTTCGTTTGGTAGAATACTCATGCTTCTCGGGACTTGCTCAACCACGTTATTACTTCAGCATGCAATCGGTCGCACCTCTTAAAAAGTAACAATCCTGCGGCCAAATGGCATATCAACAACCACTCGAATCATTCTGGGTAAGATTTTACAAAATGCTCAAAATGCGAAGCTATCCACTGGTGGCTATTTAAAGCAAAGTTTTATAGACAACGGATATTTACACAAAGAGAAATTGACCTGTTCTTGATATTTAGTCATACTGGCATAACATTGTAACCTGCGATAGCGATTAGATGACGAGATGCACGCACTGCATTTTCGCTCGTCAATGTCTAGAGCAGGGGTGGCCAAACCGCGGCTCGCGAGCCGCATGCGGCTCTTTGCTGGTCCAAGTGCGGCTCGCAGATCCATCGTAAGAGGACCCCCCCCCCCCCCCCCCCCCCCCCGCCATTCCGCGTTTCCCCAGGAAAACAAAGAAAGGATTTCAGAATAAAGCACGTCTTGCGGTTTGGCAGCCTTGTACCCCCATACGTACAGTCGTACAGACTTGTGCCCCCAAACGCACAGTCAGACTCGGAACAAAATTTAAGTTCGTCCACCCCCCCCCCCCCCCCCCCTTCCCGCGGCTCTTAGAAGTTTCGTGGTTTTGTTTGCGGCTCTTAGGCCGGGTCAGCCTGGCCACCCCTGGTCTAGAGGCACAAGTAAGAGTATGAGAATTGGCACAGTGTTATGGACCTCAAGGTGAGTGTTTGACGGTGCTGTAAAGCTTGGGGCGCAGGTCTCTGTCCTGTATACGACTCATGGCCTCTCCCAACGGGCCACTTGGGAAGCCCTCGCAGCCTAGGCCCTCTCGGAAAGTTGTCCAAACTGGGCTGAAGCTGGAGGGTTAGTGATTGGCTGCGGTCGAGGGGGCTGGTTGCTGGTGTCCTCAGGCTCCGCCTGTGGTTCCAGCTCCCCAACATACAGACCGACGTTGTGAAGAATTGCATAGGCCGAAATTATAATGCCGGCGATGTCTGCCGAGTAGAACAAGGTCTGATACTTGTGCAAGCAGCAGAACCGTTGCTTAACAGGCCTATACACCGTTCCACCACGGAACGCATTGACGCATGGCGGCTGTTATATCGCCGTATTGCATGGCTCTGTCTGCAGGCCCGAGCGTTAATTGGTGACAGGCGTAAGCATTCATGGCCCAGGGGGTAAGCGCTGTCGGTTGCATGCAGAAATAAAGACAACATACATAAATGCATGGTCCCTCATGCTTCTGGCGACATTTGTTTTGGTTGAAGGTGTAAAACACCTGTCGACTCTATCTTTATATACTCTGCAGCACAATTCGCAGATGTAGCCACTTGTTGCCTAAAGCGTTCGTCAGCCTAAATCAAATATCGTGCAAGGGGACAATACATTAGTTTTTCCTCTTGTATGAGGGTATCAATTGTATAATGTCTAAAAAGACTGACAGACGCACAAGTGTGTATACTGCCGTGATATACCTTTATACAGAACATAAGAGCGAGATATGTAGACCCAATAGATTGACTCTTTACGCACAACAAAAAAGCGGTTCCGTTTGCCAGACTGCTAGCTGTCATCAACCTTGGACTAGCAGGCGACGCAGAGACCGGCGAGTGCGCGACATCCTAAGTTTTCGTGTTGAAGGCACAAGGTCCGGATGCACTAGCTGTGCCACTGTTTGCGTACACCGGCGTACTTCCTCCAGGACGTGTCTCCTGCAAAAACGACGATCGATTTTCCCACAATACTCTGTCGAGTAAATGGCGGACCATTGCGATAATTTGCTTTCATTCAGTCACTGTATGTCCACCACAGTACCGGTCGCACCTTCTACAAGTGACTGCATGCCGGGGTATTTGTACAACCGCATTCGCCATTTGTTCTACTGTTCCTGTAATCGCTGTATTGACATAACTTTCGCCATATTCCAGTAGCGGTTTGCGGCTAAAATGGCGTCGTTCAAATTTTATAAGAATTTTTAGGACTGCGCTAGCTAACGCTGCAGCTATACCGTGTCTCACATTTCACTTTTATCCATTTCTGTGATGGTGCTCGCATATGGTATAGCTATAGGTTATAGTTTAATCATCTTTTCTGTGAGAGCCCGTGCGTATAGTACCGACTAGCACTCACGGAGTATGGGTGCCCACACGTTTGACTACTTTATCTAAGAAAACTGTCCCCGTATCATATAGCTTTCTTCAGATTACCTATCCAAGAGGGCCTCGCTTGGTCCCAGGATTCGACGTTGCATCAGCTGTCCACGGAGTCAGGAACTCTTCCACACGAGAGAGCCGTGAGACGTACGAGCAAGGCATTGTGGGATCGATGCACTCGATGCGCATATCGGCGTCGCAGATCTGTTAAAAAAACAGCTACGATGAAAAACGACCCCATGCTGAGCTCGTGTGCAGTCATACGGCCGAATGACCAAGCACTAGAGAGATGAAGCCGAATCGGTGTCTCTGCACTGACTCATCCGCAGCTATAGGTGGTGTTCACTTCACGTCACTGGGCGCCATAGTGATGCGCGCTATTCATGTTGCAGTCTCAAAACGAGCGCCTTCCTTCCTCCCCCATCTTAGTTTGCAAAGGACGACTATCTTGATGATGTGTATTAAGCGTCCGGAAGCACTGCGGAGGGTCGCATTCAGTGTGCATGTGAGGAGGTTCGTTATTTGAGGTCAAGTTCTCTTTCAATACATTAAATTATTGACGAGGCAAGTACTGTGTTTGTTTGAGCTTTAGTAGTTCCGTTGAAAAACAATAGCGATACAACTTTAAAGAAAAACATGAAATACGTTACGGGATACACAATTTCCTTAGGGCAGTCATAAAACAACTAGTTGATGAGTCACTAAGAAATAAATGCGAGTCTCAAGTCAAGTAAGTTAAAGGATGTCGGAGTGAAACACTTCACCTGACAACGACGGCGGTGACGTTGTGGCAACGATGTGGTGACGTGGCCTTCTGACAACGATGTGATGACGTGGCGTTGTGGCAAAGATGTGGTGAGGTCTTCCATGGTCGGTGCAGCCGCCGCTGGGAGTCGTCCGGGACAACGGAACATCGTCTTCACGATACGGCCCGGTTGTCCCTCGCAGTTACGCCCAGTCGTTTCTGTTTGCGTCGACGGCTCCCAGGAAGACAGCCCCCAGTCCGCTTTCGTCTCGTTGTTGTCTCGTGCTTCTTTTCTTTAAGAATCCCGTCGTCTTCTTCTTTCTTGCACCTCGTTGAAATGTCCGTTCACAGTTCACCATAGTGCAGTTAGTGCCTGCTCAGCAAAGACGAACACCACTCCAGCCCAGCACCACTCCAGCAGTCCAGCACTTCGCCCGTTTTCTCGAACGCGAACCGTGGGTTAAAGTCAGTCTTGGGTAGTAACGTGTTACTAGTAACGCGTTACTGTAACTTCGTTACTTTTTTGGTAACTTGTAACTGTAACGAGTTACTTTTTAAAAATGTAACTTGTAACTGTAGTTCTATTACTTTTTCTGAGGTAACGATGAAAGTAACGACGTTACTTTTTTCCTTACTTTCCACTTTTTTATGAATAATATATCACTGAATGAGTACAATTTAGCCATTCTTTGCGCTTTCCAAATTGTCCGTTCCGACATTTCGAGTGTCAAGTTATTTTTTGCACAAACTTGTGAATACGATCTTTCTCGCCAGTCACGACCCGAATATAGCCACGTGTAGATTTGGTGAAAAAAAAGTAGTTATCTTTAGCACGCGCTTGTACTTTGTGACTAAACACTTGCATCTTAGTATCTTGAAGAACTATTTCTTTTGCGGTTTTTCTTTTT